GAGAGAGAGAGAGAGAGAGAGAGAGAGAGAGAGAGAGAGAGAGAGAGAGCTTTGTTTAAAAAGAGTCACTTATCTTGAGCTACATTTTTTCATACTTGCTGCAAATAAACTCTTTAATACGGATGTGCGATTTTGCGATATCGCGAGCACCGCGATTTTCTTTTCTTGATACGCAATTGAATCTTTATCGCAGAATCGCGCCTGCAATTAAAACTCATCATTTTAGTTAAGTATCTGTGCAAACATCGCACGACAATTTATGATAATTTATACTGTCTAATCCAAACTTATATATTTTAAGCATAATGAAGTAATATTTTTAAAATAACATCATTTAACATTTTATTATGCTTTCAATTTTAATTTTTCTTTCAGACTATTCTTTTAGACATCTTTAGATTTTAGACGTTGTGTTGTGTGGATAAGATTAATATTGTGATTAGTTTACAGTCTTACAATCTCAGTTATACGATTTCACTTATAGTCACTTATAGGCACTTATAGTTAAGACGAAAACTTTACTAATGAATTAGAAACATTCTGGAATTTCACGAGAAAGTTCGTTCAGTTTCGAGCAAAACAATTTTCCCTCTGAAATTCCCCAAGAATTTTATGTAATGAAATTGATACGTTTTTCATACGATGCAATTCAATCGCGTTGAACGAAGCGATCGAATGAATTACTGTCGGATCTCGCAGATATTTCGAATTACCGGTGAAAATGAGATTGCATCGCGTAAACGTATGCGTCGCTTTAATTTCCGAAGTTATTTCGCTAAAAACGTAATACGATACGTCGTGGAAGGATATTCACGACATGATCAATCGTTGCGTCATAGCGCTGCAACGTAAACCATAGATCGTTGTGCCTGCATTCGCATGCGCTGCCTGATATCGACGGCGTGTGCATCGATCACATTGCAACATAGTGTGTTGGTTGCACTAGCCGGATTACCGGATATTAACTCTGCGTGTTTGAAGTTTCCTCTACGCACGACGGAAAATGGAGCTGAACGAGCGCTGAGGATCTTACAAATAGCCGTAGTTATGTAAGGACGAAGTACGTTAAAAAAAAATGAAGATGAAAATCTGATACATGATTTGAAAGGTAAAATTGTTCAAGAGAACGCAACTAGTAAGAAATGGTGCCACTTATACAAAACAAAAAACTGTTTTCTAATTAATTTTAGGCGCCCATAAAACTTGGATCTCTTTGTGTTGAAAGACGTATGAACTAACAAAAACTCAGGAAGCATAATTTTGTGGGTTGAATCATTCTTGCATAACTACGTTTAGTTACGTTTACATGTGCAAATTAGTCCATGTACACACAGAAAAAAGAAATTAGTAACGACAAAACGAATATACTCAAATTAACAATAATTGTTTTTCATATATGTATAAGCAATGATATGTAATTTTGTTAGAGGAATTTTAGAATCTCGAATTTCAACAATATTATTAATTTGATACCTTTTCCCGACATTATATTCTCAATACAATATTTGTGCTTCTCACATTCATGAAAATTATTTTTAAATAATAGTTTTTTTTATAAAGTTTTTTTTTAAGTTATATAACTCTGGTGGACTTCAAGAAAACAACTCATAATAGTATACTTCCAATAACCTTCAGCACTTTATCATTCGCACACTTTGAAAGATATGCGAGTCCAGTTCCGAAAAATAAGCAATTTATATATTGAATCGCGTGAGTTTAATATTAAATTGCACAAGTTACCTATTTTTTTTTAAATAATGTTTTAGTACTTTAAATATTTTTTTAATCACGTATAAAATGTATTGATACAAGTAACTTATTTTTGTTTAACGCTATTTTACGGTTTACATGTCAAAAACAAAGATATTTTCAAAACAAGAATGTTTTTTTTTCTATATAAAGCGACGTAAATCGTTTCCTCAAAAATGTACTGCACTCAGAAAAATATCTAAGAAATGAAAAATATTTATCTCTGATAACGTATTTACTTAAATCTAACTTCTTTTATTTGAACAGAATAAAAGATCTCTTTCATAAAAAGCTAAAGAGTTTTAAGAAAACGTATATTTTCTTATTTGAGAAATATTTTTTCTCACAGTATAAAAATATGTGTATTAGTATAAGTAAATATGTTATTATAGTATTCACTGAATAAATATTTATTTATTATAGTTATAAATATGTAATTAATAAATATTTATTTATAATAGTTATTATAGTATTCACTGAATAAATATTTTTTATTTCTTAAATATTTTTTTCTCATAGTAGCAATGTTTTTTATCTTACAAAGTATTTTAAGATTCTTTGTAGTTTTAAGATAAACAGAATACCGTTGCCAAGACCTTTCGGGAAAGCAGAGAAACACACCTGTTTATATTTATCATCTACTGATATATAACTATTTTATTTGTAGTTTCTATAGGAACTGATACTTCTCATCTAAACATTTTTTTTCCATACTAAGCGTATAATCAAAACAAGAGAGATAATGGGAAGGTTATTTCTCACTTAAAAAACTTTAATGGCATATAAATTTGTATATTTATCTCTTTTCACACACATATCAAATGAAAATTTACTTGACTAAGGTTCTACCTAAAATAGATCGTAGCTAATTACTTAGCTATCTAATCTAAACTTGCTACATAATTCATATTTTCTTAATTATTTTCTAGTCATTATCTACGAAGGTATATTTAAAAATAAAAAATTAGAAAAAACACTTGAAAAACGTCTTCAATATATGTGACAAAAGTTTTATGGAAAGTATCTTTTCTTCAATCATTATTTTCCATCATATGTTTTCTCATTTTGCAAATACAAACTCTCATCTCTAGAATGAGTGTAACTTTAACAATATTTTGCAAAAAAAATTAAAATATTCAGGAAAAAATGTTAAGAAACAAGTTATGTAACTCTTTCTAGTGGACTTGAAGAAAACAGCTCATAATATTATATTTCCAATAACCTTCGGCACTTTATCATTCGCACGCTTTGAAAGACACGCGAGTCCAGTTCCGAAAAATAAGCGATTTATATGTTGGATCGCGTGAGTTTAGCATTAAATTGCGCAAGTTACCTGTAATTGAAATAATCTCGTAATCGTTAACCGAGTCGTACAAGTGCTGCCTTATGTACGCGCGATCATGCTATATCGCTAACAATAGAAAAAGACAATGAGATTCACTGTGCACGTAATTTACGTAAATTTGAATTAAGGTCGATTGTAGGTTAAGATATACTCGATGTATTCTACTAAAAAAGTAGCTCTTTATTTTCTTTATTGCTTCCAAATAAATCTAATAATAACGTGGGCGCACAAATATAACACTTCACTTATGGTTTACTGGTCGATTTGATCAGATGAGCTCGATCTTGTAACTGGAAATGCAATTGCAAAAGAGATCGTGCTTTGAAGAGATGCTTTAGAAAAAGGTGAAGAAGGGAAACCAACAACGGAAATTATAGAAAAATATTTAGTAGAAAATGTACACGTACGATATACTGATAACAGATATAAAATAATATTGTATCTTTACGATTTTCAATATTGCCTTCGAATTAATGGGTGGTCTGGCTATAATAATAACGCGTCGGCATACCGCGTGCCTGCACATACACACACGTGCGCGCACGCACGTATCCAAACGTTCTTCCGTAACAGCAGTGTGACTTTCTTGGAAAAGGTTTGGGCGATAATAACTTGCGCGACACAACGAGGAGATATTTCTGGGAAATGCAACCAGAAAGTAATGGAAGATAACAATGTTCAAAAATTTTCAGGCATCAAAAGTTCGCGTTTTGTGAAATTGATTGTTACTTCGAGTCGGTCGTCGCAGGGCTGATGATGAAAGTATCGATTATGAAAATTGTGAAAAACCGCGGGGTAACAAATACGTACGTTCATATGAAAATTTTTACAGATATACATATAACTGGCAAAAATCAATGCGCATGTGATGCATACCCGTGCGCAGTTTTGGAAGGTTTTTAATAGCAAGTGCATTCTTGCGTGTCTTCTCGACGAAGGCAACCGTGCAAAATTGATTTTTGTCTTTTTTAATATTCTGATTTCTGATTTAATATTCTGATACTACATTTGTGAAAAATGATCTGTTGCGTCGTTTTGATTTTCTGCTACTTTCGCATACATTCCCACACAACACAACGTCTAAAATCGGGACATAAGATATACTCGATGTATTCTACTAAAAAAATAGCTCTTTATTTTCTTTATTGCTTCTAAATAAATCTAATAATAACGTGGGCGCACAAATATAACACTTCACTTATGGTTTACTGGTCGATTTGATCAGATGAGCTCGATCTTGTAACTGGAAATGCAATTGCAAAAGAGATCGTGCTTTGAAGAGATGCGTTATGATTTAAGACGTCTGAAAGATGTCTTAAAGATGTCTCTCAGACGTCAGAATATAAGACGTCCCTAAGATGACTTTAAGACCACTTATGTCCGATTTTAGATGTTGTATTGTATGGGTTATTTCGCGAGATTATAACGACGTAAAGATACAATCGTTTCATTTACCTGAAAAATCGGAAATTACTTATTAAACACGATCCGATATAACATTATACGTGAATGCGATCACAATCTCAATTACGTCATTACATTAAATATTTATCGAGGCAGAAGTTATGACAACTTTTCTCCATCTTTGAAACTCCTAACAATATACATTGAGAGAAAAATATAGTTACTTTTGGCGTCAACTATACTTTTTTGTGATTTTAACCAGAAATTAGAAGAACCATTTTTCTGATACAACACTTACTAAAACAATGGTTTTCCTAACTATTTTTATGGTTAAAATCACAAAAGAATATAGTTGACGCCAAAAGCAACTATATTTTTCTCTCAGTGTACGCGACTATGAAACTTCACAGTCTGAACAGTTGTTTATTCATTTTAGCTGTTGCGCATAATAGCACATTGCACGCTCTACGGCAAATATAAACCATCATCTTTTATGTATATCAGCGAATATTTCTTATAATAACGTTAATTTTTATCATATGTCATTAAACACATTGAAAACCGAGATTATTAAATTCCTTAATCAATCTCCTTAAATTTTGTTAGGCTTCTTTTTTCTATAAGTTTCTTTTTGTTATTATCGTATGTGTATTCTATTTTTTCCTTTTAATATTTTATGTTTATTTCTTTATACATATATTTGTTTTCTTCTCGCTCATCTGTGTATCTGTGTGTATCAAAAAGATAATTCCCGTTTAATTAAATAATTAATTAATTAATTAACATTTAGTTAAAGATAGAACAACGTACAACATTCTACATATCGTGTCACGCGAATTTCTTTATTATACAACTAAAGTAAAGTAACTGAGAGATACCCTTATAGAAATATCATACTAAGAATCATTGATAATTACTTATTTTCAGTATTAAAAATACTGGATAATAAGTAATTATCAATGATTCTTAGTATGATATTTCTATAAGGGTATCAGGCCCATAAGAGCTATAATTTCTCGCGGATGTCCAGAACGGAATTAAATTTACACTGTGGCGCAGGATAGCAATGTTTGAAGGCGATATTTGTTTGACAGATACGATATTTGTTTGGCAGAGCTTGTTCACGTATCTTTCTTCCCATGATCTCGCGGCGAACTTTTTGGGAACTGACTCGGACGTGAAGTGCGTACGAACTCGTTCGCCAGTGCAAAGGCGCGCGTACGACGGAGAGAGATACCGACAGATCTGCATTGGCGTCGGAGCGCGAAATAACAAACGCAAGACACAGTTTCCACTGATCTCCGACCAGTCCCTCGATGATCATCATGGAGCGACGTATCAGCCTGCAACTGCGAACTCCTCGCAGTGAACAACGCAGGTCGTTGGAGGCCGATACTCCACGTTCCCCAGCGTTTATGACAGTTCTCGTCTTGCGACGAGATCCCTCCTCTCTCTCTCTTTCTTTCTCTCTTTCTCTCTCTCTCTCGGAGTCGCACCTTAATCTTCAGTACCGGCGCGGACGTCCGGCGGTGCGCGTGCGCCGGCCATTTCCTAGTAGCGCGGCTCGGACGGCCAATGGCGAGCGACGTGTTATGTCACTGGCGGCCAATCGGCGCGCCGGCCGGTGACGACGGAGTTATTTTTGGGCGGTGTGAGTCACGGGATATAAGGCAGTACGTTTAGTTGGATATTCACAAGTTGTCGGGACACCCAACTGTGCGGTCGAACGCTGCGCTCACGCAACGCCGCGGTACTGTCCGCGTTCTACGTGTACCGAGAAAGAGAGAGAGAGAGAGAAGGAGAGAAAGAGACACACAGAGGGAGAGACGGCACACGCGCACACCACCGCGGTCCGTCACGTCGTGAGTCATTGTTGTGTTGACAGTCGAAGCGAGCTGTGGTCCTCGTGCGAACTTGCGGACGGCTCGCGACGCACCGTGCGGGGTCGGCGGGTTGTTTTTTAACGCGGAGTCTCTCTCGGCGGCTCGGCAAGCTCGACGTGTCTTTTGCGCGCTGGGCCGATCGCGGTCAAACGACGGTCCGCTGTGCGTGCACGCTGCTAGCGTATTGTTCACGGAGTGTCGTCGTCGGCTGCTGTGCGTCGGTGCGATACATCGTGTGTGTCGAAACGGACGTGTCAGTGAAACAGACGGAGACGGAGGATACGAGCGACGTGTGCGTGGAGCAAGACAGTCCTCGCGGCTGAATTTTTGCGTATACGGCCGCGCGCGCATGGTTATGTAATCGCCGCAGCGCGGAGCGAAGTGTTTGCACGACGTAGTAGATAGAGGAAGAGAGAGAAAGAGAACAAGATAGAAAGAAGAGAGAGACGTGCGAAGCGATAGCGCGCGGCGGAAGAATTAAAGTTCACACTGTGCGGAATTTCCACCTCGTCTGCTGGGCAACTTCGTCCGGCCTTCTCGAGCCGGAGGAACGCAGTTGAGTAAAGAGAAACTCGAGGAGAGCCGCTCGCGCACCTCGTCGAGGACAGGCGAGTCGCGGATTACGCGGGTCACGAGGAGATCCGGTTAGGCGCGTCGGCGAGCCGAGCCGACGGTCACTGGTAGGCAAAACTATTCCGGATATTCCATCGACTTGGCGACTGGCTGATCAACCCGGCGGCATCGATGGTGCGCAGCCTGACGATGGAGCAGACGTTCTACGAGGACGCGAACGCCTACGGGACGGTGAATCGCGAGAACAACGTGGGCCAGCTGAAGCGTAACCTCACGCTCGACCTGAACGGCTGTCAGAGGCAAGGCCCGCAGGCGAAGAGGCCGCGGATGGACATGGTCGCCAACGGCCGCGCGCTTCCGACGGCGCTCAACAACATGACACCAATTCTAGGCTCGCCGGACCTCAACATGCTGAAGCTCGGCTCGCCCGAACTCGAGAAGCTCATCATGGCGCAACAAGACAGCCTGGTCACTAGCCTGCCCACCCCAACCACGCAGATACTGTTCCCGAAGACCGTGACCGAGGCGCAGGAGATGTACGCCCGCGGCTTCGTCGACGCTCTCAACGAGCTGCATCATTCTGACAGTTCGCAGGAGCCCGGCAGCACCCACGGTGCTACCTACACCACGCTGGAGCCACCCGGCAGCGTGCAGAACAGCACCGACTCCAGCACCATGAGCCAGGGCCTGGTGCATGTGAAGGACGAGCCGCAGACGGTGCCGAGCGTATCGAGCTCGCCGCCAATGTCGCCGATCGACATGGAGAATCAGGAGAAGATTAAACTTGAGAGGAAACGCCAGAGGAACCGCGTGGCCGCCTCCAAGTGCCGACGGCGCAAGCTCGAGCGCATCTCCAGGCTTGAGGACAAGGTCAAGGTGCTCAAGGGCGAGAACAACGAGCTCTCGGCGGTCGTGGTCAGGCTCAAGGAGCACGTGTGCCGGCTGAAGGAGCAGGTCATGGACCACGTGCACTCTGGCTGCGCGATCATGATCAGCGATCACAGCAACCAGCAGTTCTGAAGCTCTCTTTTTTTTCTCTCTTTCTCACTCTCAGTCACAGCCTGCGACGGCGAGCTGACCGCGCGACAATGCTGTCACCGATTTTGGTCAGCTCCTCCGACCAGCTTTATCGCCGTCAGCTGAGGCGTGACTCTGCGAGAAAAGGAACATTGGACTCGCGTCAGCTTTGTGCTTTCGATTCCTTTCGGCGGTCGGCGAACAAGAAGGAGGAAACGCACGGACGGCCAGTTATCTTGCATCAGGGAATATCGTCTTCGACGAGCTTCGGAGCGGGTCCTTTCTATTTTGGATTGGGAAGGAGTCGGCGACTCCGGAGGAAGTGTATCCTCGTCTGTGGACGCCGCTGACGTGGAAGTTCCCGGGCCGACAAAGGCGGGTGTCTTCGAGGCGACACCGGGCAACCTCGACATCGACTTCGTGGACGCCTCAGCAGGAAAAGGGAACCTTCGCTAGGAGAGGAAGGAGGAAAGGAACCGGCCGATCGTCCAACACGTTCGCGGCTTTCTCTGTAAGTTCTTTTGTGACGTGACCAGGAGGAGACCGCGCGCGGCGAACAGGCGGAGCAGGAGGTGGAGTACGACGACGAGGAGGAGGAGGAGAAGAAGGAGGAGGGAGTGAAGGAGGAGAAGGAGGAAAAGGAGGTGATGATGATGATGATGATGATGGTTGAGGTGGAGAAGGAGGAAGGAGTGCCTTCGTGTAACGTGCTAAAGGATGCGTCGGGAGAGCGACGGGCGTGCGCGCATGGAGAGGAACTTTATACACACACCCACACACTCACACACACGCACACACACGAGCGCGCCCGGCGAATACGTATGTATATGTATGCGAGCGAGCGAGCGAGAGAGTGAGAGGAAAAAAAGAAAAGAGTACGACTCTGCGGGTATGTATGTGTGCGTGCGTGCTCGATGAGCGAAGCAGAGAAAGAAAGAAGAAAAGGAGAGGGCGAGCGCTCGCGGAAGCGCGAGAGGGGGAGCACCGCGGCGGCCATTTTGGAGAACGCAAGAGCGCCGGCGGGAGATTCGAATCTGCCGGAGAGACTGCTGGGGCTCTTCGCGTTTCTCCGATCGCCGTCGGGCGACTCGTAGTTTCTTTTTTACGACGTGCTTCGCACGACTGTCCGCTTTTTTGTACCTTGAATCACCATCCGAGACTCGGATCGTCGGCCGACCGTTTTTGCGAATTCTCGACACGACAATTTGGCAATGGCAAAATTCGTGGACTCCGCATCGAACCTCTTTTACGACGACGTACCACGGTTTGCTTCGACTTTTACTTGTCCCGCGAACAAAGCGCCGGTATGTGCGTGTATGTACATACACACAGCTCTTTTCTTGTTTGTATGAGCTCGCGATGTCTCGCAGCGAGACTTTGCCAGTACATTTTGACGAGACGTTCACTTTTGCGCGCGACCTAATTGCAACTTCGAAGGATGCTTCTCGTTAACACAGCCGACCGTATCCTACTAGCCATCCCTCCCCCTCGTTTCGTCCGAGATATCGCTTCGGATATTCGCGGGCGAAATTTGGAGGAGAGAAGTTAATGGCACAAACGGCTCTCTCGCGCTGAAGCGGTTTTACTCCCCCCCGGAGGTTTTTCAGAAATAATGAAGGAGTGCTTGCAACATTCGAATTGTGCGCAATTTATTAAAGTGAATATCTTGTACAACATTGCGAGCGCACAGTGCGAAAATGGATCAATTCGAAGGGAAGTGATTTAACTTCGCAGCAGCCGTATTGACTGTTAATCGCTACTTGTTACTTTTTACTCTTTGCAATCGTCGTGTTGACACCGTTTTTTACACTGATAACGTCACGTAACTGTAGAGCCACTGTTGAATCTTGACACGGTAACAGTTGAAGTATGTTGTTGCTAAACTATGTCACAACTTTTTAAGCGACTCTAAAGGGGACTCCTATTTCATGTCGTTTTATCGTGCGCAAAGCTCAACCGCGTTTACACCAAAGTTAGCTCTCGGAGCTTTTGGAAACGCATTTTCTTTTTATTAAATAGCAACCGCAATTGACACAATGAAGATTCTGGTCGTGTTTATCGTATCGTGTTTCGATTTGGGGAACTCTGCCGAGATAATCATATTGATTAAAAGCTCGTGTGTGTACGCGTGTGACAGAACAAGAGTTATTTTTCTTCAAATTGCTCATTTTCGTCACGCTGCGCGTATTGTATACATTTTTATAGCGTATCGACAACAGAGCGATCGCGTTTGTTATCGCCCTTCTCTCGAGATTAGCTCGGCTTCGACAGCGTGCGTTTTATACGGAACAATCAAACGGGGGATTACACTGAGGCGCGATTACGTCGATGAGAACTGCGCGCGGCGGACTACTTGTGATAAGCGCAATCAATCAAATCAGGAGATCACTTTTGCCTTGCGTCGAATGCATTTCTCGCGAGCATCGAGACACTCGAGAGTTCATTCCGCTAGTTCGGTGCATACGAATCGACGAGTTCTGATCCTAAGAAGTACACGCGTTGCTGTACACTACAGTTGCAAAAAAAAAAAGTAAAAAAAGAAAAGAAAAACGTGTATCAGAACGGTTCGTTATGGTGACGCGTGTTCGCTTTAGAAACTAGTTCGATTTGGTCCGATAGCAGCGCGCACTTTTGCGAGAAGAATAATCTTGCAATCCTTTCGCGAAGCACGTATTTTCAAAAGAAGCCGCCACGAAGACGGAACTTACGAAGAGAAGTCTACTGTGATAAAATCGTTTCGTCGAGAACGAAATGGACGAGAAACTGATGGGAGGGTGGATGATACAAAGTGGATTAATATATATTAAAATATTCAATTATTATATTGTATAAAATTATTATATTAAACATTAAAAAAACACAAAAAATACACTATCCTTGAGATTAGAAACACAAAATTGCATAATTAACTCGTCACGGGACAACGTCTCGCGCCAACTGCAATACATACATCAAAAGTCGTCTCTGCGTTTTCCACCGCGTCCTTTCGAGCGAACATACCGCGATTGATCGACGGGACGGACGCAGAGAAAGAGAGAAAGACACGCGATGTCTGTGCTTGCGGACATATTTTGACACAGAAAAAAGATTTTGGTCGGGTTAACGTGACAACGAACAGATCGAACGTCTTTTTTGATCGAAAGAGACAGAATTTCTTTGAGCCAAATTTGATTTGCATACTACACAAGATTTCTTGGTGAATTTTACACATTTCTCACATTATGTTGAGATAAAAATTTTTTTCGTGTCAAATATTAAAAGAATTTTCAAAAGTTTTTATACAATTTCAATACAAATATAAAATGTTTTTTTTTTACCGTATAAGTTTTTTTAATCAAAATGACACAACGTCAACATGTTAAATTGACACACATTAAATTAGAAAGCTCTCTCGTGTTAAAAATTTAACACAAAAATTTTTACGCGGGTCGATTTCAATACAAATACAAGGTGCTTTTTGGGAACGAGAAATGCTGTTTCCTTCGACCAAAGCGTCTTTGGTCCGTTCATTGTCATGTTGATTCGACAAAACTTTGTTTCTCCGTGAAAGTATCAAACAGAGGACACGTCCATCGTAGTCTCCTCGATACTTTTTCGACGTGCCTCTTCGCCGTCCCGCCAACAAGCCGTTGAACGAGCGTGTCGAAGTGGTGGCCTCGTTTGAAACCCCGCTTTTGAAAAGGACTAGCTATTAAAGCTGTACAAATAGAGTAGCGTCTCTTTTCGGGAGATGATCGCCCGTCGTTGAACCTGCTATTGAAGGATCTCGCCCTAGATCCCGGCTAGACGTCCAGGACGGCTGATACACTCGCGCGACAAAGGACACGGCCCTGCGATTATGTCTACAGCGCGTGTCGATCGATTGGGTATGATTGCGCGCGATTATCGGCGTACATGGAGCCACGATTCCAGAATAATGGTGCTTAATCGCACGATCAGTCGCGCCTGTCATCGCGTTTGCGAAATTTTCGAATGGCGAGTCGCGACTGTCCAAGGTGACCAGATCTCCCAGCTTCAAATCCGGGACACTTCATTGATGTGTCGGAAAGATCGTGGGGGAGGGGGTGAAAATAACTGAGTTATATATACATTTATTAAATTAATGTATATGTATATAGATACATATTAAAGGGATATTTTATTCACAGACATATGAAAAATAATTTAGCAATAACGACGAACTGCTACACATAGTAAAAATAGAAGACAAAACTGTTGTTATTCTTACTTAAACTTTACAGAACAGAAAGAAGACAACCTACTGTGTTTACCAGGGCTGCGAACTTTTTGAAAAGGTCTTTCTTTGTTGGAAGCATCTTGATCCTGAAACCGTAAACATCAGAAACATGAATGTAAATATACAAACATGAGTATAAATTTTACTCAGCGTATTTTCATTCCTTTTCCAGGAAAATTGTCAAAATTCAGTCTTTTTTTTTCTTTAATCGGTACAGGAAACATCAAAGAATGAGTCTATTACTTTTGCAATTCAATTCAAAGAAATTCAACATTTTCTATTAACTAGATTAAAGTATATTTTGGGCACAAACGCAGGATTTTAGTTTTTAATTAATTATTCAATTAATTACTAAATTTTTAATTAATTATTCAATTAATTACTAAATTTTTAATTAATTATTCAATTAATTACTAAATTTGTTTGCTCAAAATATACTTCAGTTGAATATTTTTCAAAGTTTTATTTTTAAAGATTTTCTTTCAATCTTATCATTAAAATTTTTCAATCAAAATAACAAAATGTCAATCTGTGTGTTACATCACACATATATGTTAAATTAAGAACTTATTTCATGTTAAAAATTTAACACAAAAATTTTGTACACGGGTCGACTTCAACGCGAATGTAAAATGTTTTTTGCTGCACGTGAAAACGAGAAATGCTGTTTCCTTCGACCGAAATTTTTATTTGTTCTCTTTTAACTGGTGTAGAAAACATCAAGGTACACGATGTTTTTGCTTCATCGAAGTTGAAAAAAGTTGCAATGAGAAGGTAAAGCATACGTTCCTCAGAACGGTAACATTGGAAGAGTTTGAATTTTTGTAAATTCTCCCAGAATGTCTCGAGACCTAAAGTCAAAAGTCCTCTGATAAACCTCGGGATACAGTGAGACAGTCCCTGGTCGAATCTGGGACAAATTGGCGTCCCGGATAGCAGACGAGGAAATCCGTGACTGTCCCGGGGGACGTCTGGTCATCTGGAATTGTCCCGCCTCGGTGATGTTCAATTAGTCGGCTTCGATTATGCTTTGCGCCTCGAAGAGGGAGCTATCGATCAGAAGAATTTCGCGGATCGCGATCGGAAGGCGACGGACGAAGTGCGCGCGAAGTGTGTCACGATAATTTCAAGAGGCGGCGGCGACGCGAAGGCCAAGTCGGTCGCTGGCTTCCTATCCGTAACGATAGAGCAGAAGAAGAAAAAAAGGGAAAATTCGCCGTTTGCGGTGCGTATCGCCGTGCGTGTCGTCGCGATTAGCACACCCTCCGGGAAGCTCTTTCCCTTTAGCTCTTAAGCCGAGGACGATCGCCGCCGTCGGTCGCGTTTTCCTTGTTTGTTGGCTCTTCTGCGCGATCGTGCGGCCACGACGAGCGTAGACACTCCATTTTGTCATATGTGCATCTAGTCTTGTCCAGTGTGCGCGAAACCGCACGCACACACACGTACATACACACATAACACACACGTAACACGCGCGCAGCACACAAATACATAGCTGCACTGAGAGGAAAAATATCTAATGAATAAAAGATATTTATTATGTGTGCTAGGTATTATTACTATTATTAATTTGTTATTAGGTGGGTACTGCACTGAGATCGAACATTTATTTTGTGGAACGTAAAGTTTATTTCCGTGAAATAAAGCTTACTTTTCTGCGAATAAACTCTATATTCCGCAAGTAAATTTTCAAGTATTCTTTTCGTCCGTATATATTCGTCTGAACCCAAATCTTTTCATTTCAATGGAACAAACAATTGCGCTTTCATGAAAAATTTATATTCTCTTATTCGAGAAATATTTTATGTATGTATTAGTACAAGTATGTAATGTGCTATTAGTATACTGGCCGAATGAATATCTTTCATCGCTTACACATTTCTCCTCTCACAATGTACACAATTGCGTTTCACTCGAGAACGGTATGTTCTCTTATCTAAATCAAACGGAGATATCTCTGTTCGGAGAGAATTCTCTCTCGGAGACGTCCGGGAGTGTTTCAAGATCTAAAATCCGTACCCACTTCACGATTTTTGGAGTGACGATCTCTCCAGCCGCGTGTACTTGTGGAATTATTTTCGCCTGGTTTGGAGAAGAAGATACCATAAAAATGACGACAATTTTTGAGATCTTGGACTGTTAGGATTGTGAGCGAAGTTGTTGCATGTTTGTTGAAAACGTGTTGAAAAACGAATTACTTGAATGTTTCTCACATCGCGTATTTATCAGTCAAATTTGCTATTTATTTGATACATTACGTTACAATTCAGTTTAACTTTACGGGAAACAAGAAAAAACATTAAAAGAAACATAAAAAGAAACATGATTCCAACGCGATTCTCACCAATATTTCCAAGCAATCTGAGAGATCGGCGAAGGAGAAACACTCACAACTCCCAATTGAAAGCGGCTTTCCTCGTTTTTGCCCGACCCAATCGTCGTTTGTGTTTTATACGTTTGTAAGAGGGCGAAGGAGGGAGACGGAGGGGGAGACATGCGAAAGCGCGAATATATATTTTCGTACGAATACGTTTCGTCCGATATATTTTCGTGCGAAGCTCTCAGGCTTTTTAGAACGCGGACTTCTCTCACTACGCGCAAGTTGACAAACGTTATCGCGAATACCGCTTCGATATCGGCAATAAATTAACTCGCCGCACCCCTTTGCGACACGTGCGCCTGATATCCAGTTCGATATCCTTCCGTTCGATTCTCCGTGATATCATTCGACTCGTAAGATATTTCGGGAAGCCAAGATCTACGAAAATCTGCTCATCGAGCAGAGAATCTCTTGGCGATAACGATATCTCTTTTTCTCTCCTTCTTCAGTAGAACAATTCATTCTTTCTGTTTCATAGTACATCTTTCTCTCTCTCTTTTTCTCAGGATCTTCGAGGACTCGAAAGATAATCGTTTCAGATAATGAATAAAATCGAGAGACAATCGAGCGGAAAGGTCAGAGCGAGACCAGGCGACTCGTGGAGGAAAGCATGCAATAACGGCGAGCACAAAGCAATTTCACCTCCGTTCTTGTATTACACCGCCGGCCGCCGGATCGCGCGCGATCGCGAGCGAAAGTGCTTCGCGAGACGAGGATCGGAGGAAAGTCGCGATTACGCGCCGCGCATCGACCGGAGGATGGGCGATGCGTAAAGTCAGAGTTGCCGCGAAGCAGCGATCGAAAGGAGACAATTAGATTGATTGTGCACGCATACAAAGGACGATTTGCTCGAAAGAATCTCGCGCTTGAAACTCCGCGACCGCGCCACTTGAACGACCGAAGAAAGTTCTCCGTGAGATCGAGAACGGCTTATTGCGCAGAAAATACACCGGCTGCCCCGAATGAATCGACAGACATCGCGCGTGTCGTCTCGGTGTCGCGGTTTTGTTCTCGTAATTTCGCCCGGAAACCTTCCGATTCCCCCCCCCCCC